GACAATGTTGATTATATGTGCAAAAGTCACATCTTGAATGGTTTGGCTAATGGCTTATTTGACACATACCAAAACGAGACAATTGCAAAATAATTATGGGACAAACTAGAAGCCAAGTACATGACAAAAGATGCAACAAGTAAGAAATTTCTTGTTAGTTGATTTAATAATTATCAAATGGTCGGTGGACATTCTATTATAGAACAACCACAAGAAATTGCAAGAATGTTTAATCAGTTTAAAAATATAAAATGAAAATGGGTGAAACTATAGTTGTATCCTTGATTATAGACAAACTTCTTCCATTATGGAAAGACTTTAAAAGAAGTTTAAAACACAGAAAGGAAGAAATAACTCTTAAGGCTTTGGTAAATCATCTTCGAATCGAAAAGAAATACAAGAAACAAGAACAAGTTGCTATTTCTAGTGAAGTTAAATTACATGTTGTGGAAGAAGGAAATACCACTGAACCTGCTAAAAAGAAGTTCAAGCAAATTGCTAATGGTCCAAATTCAAAAGACAAAACAAAAGCACATGTTTCTATTGCAACAAACTAGAACATTTCAAGAATGAATGTTGATTATTGAAGAAGAAAAATGATTTTTCAAGAAGAGCTACTCTTGAAAATTTTGTAGCCATGATTTATGAAATCAATGTGCTTCAAGAAAATGATGCCTAGTGGGTTGATTCTAGAGTTGCAAAACATGTGCAATGGTAAAAGTCTTTTCAAGAATTTCACACCAAGTGATGTACATGAAAAATTCTTCTACAACAATGATTGAAGGCAAAGGGACTGTTGAACTTGAATTCACTTTTGGATAAACTTTAATTTTGAAAGATGTATATTATGTTCTAAAAGTTAAGAAAAATTTATTGTCTGGAAGTCTATTAAAAAAGTTTGATTTCAAGCTTGTATTTGAGACAGGTAAATTCATTCTATCCAAATGGAGAATTTTTGTCGAGAAAAAGTGCATGTGTGATGGAATGTTCAAATTAAATATTGTTAATAATAATAAGAATAAAATAATTATTTTTGCTTATATGGTTGAATCTTCTTATTTATGACATTTTAGATTTGGACATTTAAATTATAGAAGACTGGATGACATGTATAAATAAACTTAATTTCAAAATTTAATCCAAATATTGATAAATGCAATACATGCATGCTAACAAAAATAACTAGAAATTTTTTTGCTAAAGTTAAAGGAAATACCAAATTACGTAAATTAATACATAGTAATGTGTGTGATATGCATAGTACATCTACATAGCTGGAAAGAAATATTTTGTCACATTCATTGATGATTTTTCTAGATATTGCTATGTATGTTGTTGCATTCTAAAGATGGAAGTATTTGATAAATTTAAGGTTTATAAATTAAAAGTTAAATTATAATGTGAATCTTTGATCAAGTGTTTATAATCGAATAGAGGTGGAGAATATTATAATCCAAGTTATTTTGCCTCCATTAAGACAATCCATCATATTTCAGCCCCTTACACACAACAACATAATAGTGTAGCAGAAAAGAAAAATAGGTTCTTGATCGAAATGGTAAATGATATGTTATCATATTCAGCTATTGGAAAAGGTTTTTAAGGAAAAGCTTTGTTAATAACTTGTCACATATTAAATAGAGTTTCTAAAATAAAAATTAAAATGACCCCATATGAGCAATCGAAGTAAAGGAAATCAAACCTTAATTATATGAAGGTTTGGGGATGTAGAGCTATAGTTAAAGTTCTATAACCCCAAAGAAAGAAATTCGGTGAAAAAGGAATAGAATATAGATTTATAGGATAAGTACAACATAATAAAACATATAGGTTCATGGTAATTGAGCCAAGTGATTGAATTCCAGTCAATACAGTTGTTGAATCAAGAGATGCAATATTTGATAAAAATATATTCAAATATGTTTCAAGAAAACAATAATCACTACAATCAATTCAATTAATTGTCATTCCATTCGAACAAAATAATGATGAATCTAGTCCAGAAATAAGAAAAAGCAAAAAGGCTAGAAAGGTAAAAGATTTTGGTCTAGACTTTTATATGTTTCTTGTAAAAGGAACATGAGAAAATATCAAAAAAAAAATTCTTTATTGTTTTAATTTGGAATCAAACCTAGTTACATATGATGAGGCAATGAAGTCTCAAGATTCTACATTTTGGAAGGAAGCAATCAATGTTGAGATGGACTCAATAATGAAAAATAATACATGAATTTTGATTAATCTACCACCAGGTTCCCAACCAATAGGTTGTAAATGGATTTTCAAAAAGAAAATGAAAATGGATGGAACCATAGACAAGTTTAAAGTAAGATTAGTATCCAAAGGTTTTATAAGGGATTGACTATTTTGATACTTATGCTCCAATAGAAAGAATTGCTACAATTATACTTTTAATCTCCCTTACATCAATTTATAAGTTGGTAGCTCAGCAAATGGATGTCAAAATAGCATTTTTAAATGGTGAATTAAAAGAAGAAGTCTACATGGAACAACCAGAAAGGTTTATTATTTTAAGAAAAGAGCATAAAGCTTGTAAACTTGTCAAATCATTGTATAGGCTTAAACAAGCACCAAAACAATAGCATAAAAAATTGGATGAAATTGTTTTAGCTAATGGCTAAAACATAAATGAGTCTAACAAGTGCATATATAGCAAATTTCAAAATGGTTAAGCTATTATAATTTGCTTATACGTGGATGATATGTTAATTTTTGGTACGAATTTGTAACAAGTCGAGGAGACAGAAGTTTTTTGTCAAATAGCTTTGTAATGAAAGATATAGGTGTAGCATGTCATTTTAGGAATTAAAATATTCCAAGATGAAAATACCATATATTTATCTCAATTGCACTACATTGAAAAAGTGCTTGAAAAGATTGATCTTAGTAATTGTATATCAACATCTACACCTATGGATCCTCAAATTAAATTAGTACCTAATGCTGGTAGGGTTGTTGATTAATTACAATATGCAATAGCAATTGGTTGTTTGACGTATGCAATGATATGTACAAGGCCAAATATAGCATTTGTTGTTGGAAAGTTAAGTAGATATACAAGAAATCCAAGTACTTTGCATTAGCAAGCCATAAATCGAGTACTAAGGTATTTAAAGAAAACAATCAACTATGAACTTTACTATAATAGATATCTATTAGTACTAGAAGGATATTCGGATGCTAGTTGGATTACAAGTTTAAAAAATTATGCTTCCACAAGCAGATAGATCTTCATGCTTGGTGGGGGTGTCGTTTCTTGGGGGTCCAAGAAACAAACGTGTATAACAGATTCTACCATGGCAATCGAATTTATTGCATTAGTTGCTGCCACCAAGGAAGCTGAATGGTTAGGAAATTTCCTAAACCAATTTGTTAGAATGACATGCCACAATTTCTATTCATTGTGATAGTGAAACAGCTTTAGTAAAAGCATGTAGCCAAGTGTATAATGAGAAGCCAGACACATTGGATTAAGACTTAGCTATGTTCGATAATTAATTTCTGATAGAGTGAGCATTATAACTTTTGTGAGGTCTAGTGAAAACTTGACAAATCTTTTAATGAAAAGTCTTGCTAGAGATCTTGTAAATAAAACCTCGAAGAGGATAAGGCTCAAGCTCATAAATTAAAAGTCACCCATGATGGAAACTCAACTCAACTCTGAATATAATGTCAAGCCTTGAGTTTAATGAGACAAAGTACATCATTTGTATGTGGCTACTAGCTCTATAATATAATATATTATATTCCATCCCAAATAAAGTGCTAGGTACTTGTAATGGTAAGGAAATGATGAGTTATATATCTTAATAAACCTATAACATAAATTTGTTAAAATGCTTTAGTTAAGGGGGCATTCATTGGATCTATCTATGTGAGTATGAAGTATGGCCGCTTCTAGGAGTTCAAGAGCTTGGCTTTAATAGCACTCATGGAAAAAGAATACAGACACATGACCATAAAAGCGTCGCTGAATACTGTGCATGTATTGGTCTTGAAATCGTTATGTGAGATGTGTTCAGTTAACCAAATGAAATAGCTAGTTCAAAACATAGTCTACTATGCAATTTTGGTTAACTTTAACACGTTTTCACTAAGTGAAGGTTCAATCGGAAGACACCTTGATTTATGCAATTGATTTCCATGATTATCGAAGATTTGGATTAATTTGAAAATGGTGGGGGATTGTTAGAGATTTTCAAATAAAAGATACGGTTCCATATTAGAATAAAAGGAAAAATTATGATTGTTGGTAATTAAAAATTAAGGGAAGGGTTATATCTATTGGAAATAATAAAAAAAAATCACATATGTTGGAAAAGACCAACAATAGTGACTATTTGAAATAGACACAAACAGTGTCTATTGGGAACAAGCATTTAAACCTTTAAAAAAAGATACTCTTTTACCAACAGAACGTACATAAAAAGTAAGAAACGTCTTTCCTTCGTTTCTCAAATATTCACTAAGTTTTCTTCCATATTATTTTCCTACAGAAAAGTATTATAGAAGTTCGATAATCTTGTTATACTCTGGTGAGTGCTCAGTGGATTGATTTCGTCAATACAAAACATTGTCAATCACAGGGCTTCATTGTATCTTAGAGGTTTATACATTGATAACTCTTTTGCATATTACAAGAGAGAGGGAATGAAACCTTAAAGACAATGGCATTGATACACGCCTTGAAGTCAATTTCTACATTTTCTAATTTGATGTTCTAACAGGTTGCTACTACAACAAAATCTAACAGAGAAAGTAGAAAATGAGGACTACCAATATGTCCTTACAGCTCTCTGATATAATGTAAAACAACTCAACGGAAAAAAAGAAGGTAAGAAGCGCAAAATGTAAGATTGGTTATTTTACTCTCGTGTTGTGATGCAGAGAAGCTCTTTGATTTTATAGAGTACATGGTTTGTTTCATAGGGGATTTTCACAAGGGTAAATGAGCTGCTGTTTGTGCAAATCTGTATAGATGATTTTGTATTGATATTTAGCATATGTGAGCCGTAGCTATGGTGCTGCTAGGCTTTACTTTATGATGATGCTCTTGTGACGAGTGATCTGCCTCAACAGGACGACGTAACTCCTTGTCAAATTCAGAAACGAAATCAAAAAATATCTCTGCCAGGCGACTAAATTTCTTTTCTCTTTGTTTCGGGGTAGGAAGAATTCGACGAGAAGCCTGCTCTTCGGAAAAGAGAGGCCATAACAAGGCCCGATTTCTGGTCATCTGCCCGTAGGGCGTAGACCCCCTGGGCTTTGAACGTCAATCATTTAATTAACAAAGAGCCACCTGCAAAATGAGTATTTGTAATCCGACAGGTTGGTAATTGTCCTTTTCCCGGAGAACGCATTCTTATCAGCAAGATGCTTATTAATTGTGATTGTATAAGAACCTCTAAAGGAGGCAAATGACATCAACTTGAAGTTTTGATTATCTAGTATGGCCTTTAAAATCTTAGGTTCTGTTCCATTTATGGCCCTCTGTTTTCCAACAATCAGACGGCGTATTCGAAAGCAAATGACCAAGGAAATAAGACATGAGTTGACTACCAAGTATATGAGTGGCATATAATGATATAATAGACCCAGAGAACAAAGCAAGTTCTGCACTATTATGTCGTTTCTGTAGAGAAGAGTGATATGGAACTATGAAGGTATTCCTCCCATCATTTCAGTTAAAGGTAACGGGCATCTATAGAGCACCTGCCACATCTTCATTTGGGTAATTTGTATAATTTAGGTAACCAATACTTCCCAGAAGGGAATGAAATAAGATACGTCACTCCCTCTCCTCGATACTCACAGGCAGGGGTTTAAATGCAGCCAAAACCACTGCAACTTTGCATACAAGAAATCCTATCATTCCAACCAAGAGTTCTTTCGGAGTCAACACAAATGGAATATCCCCCATGCTATACTTAACTGTTAATAAAGAAAGTGCCACACCCAGTGCCAGGATTGAAAGTGGACTCCTAAATCTGACCATTTGATCTCCAGGATTCTTGGAGATCAATTCTGAAGCTGGTAATCCATCTACAGACCTTTGCAATAGCAACAAATATAGAAAACCACTGATCCCACCGAGTAAGAATGCGAGAGCAGAACTTTTCCCAATTGAGAAGGATGCAAACGTTGTACCAACAAATATAAGAACAGCATCATATAGTAACAAAGAGAACTTCAAATCTGCATATTCCTTCATACTTTTCTCATTAGATATCTGGTCACTCAAGGGTAAAGTTGGTTGAGAGAAGCCCTTGCTAAACATTTTGAAGAGATTAGACCCAGATAACTCAGTAACAAGGCAAGGTCTTAGTTCCACCATGGACTCATCACCACCCTCTCCAAGCAAGATCTCATCAACTTTGAAGTCATATTTAGAACCAATAAATTCAGCATTTTCCCCATAATCTTCCCCTAAGGAAGGTTGGGATGCATTAAGGATGATCAGGCTGACACCTCCTAATCTCCACTGACCTGAGAAAGGAGAATGGAAGACAACTATTCAAATTCTCCAGTTGCACCTACTTTAAAATACAGGTCACTGAACAGCTTCTTTTCGTGAAACAAGATCCAAAATCTAACAATTCTTATTTGAGACTAACCTGATTCAAGACTGATCCAAAGAGCTTCAACCTTCCCCAAGTTCGGTCCCTCAAAGACAAATTCATCAACTGAACCTCTTTGGAAATAGAGAGTTTCAGGCTCCGTAACGTTCTCTGACTTTGCCGGATGTTCAATTAACAAATATGCAGGTATCCTCTGCAATATTGAGTCACCTCTCTCATCTATCAAACACAAGAGTATTCCAGCATTTATATTACTCAAACTTGAGCCATACATGCTACTTGTTTGCAACCTAACCTTGTAAAAAGACCGTGCTCCATTCAAGCTGGTAGATGAAAAAAAATTTTCTCCCAAGGTCTCTGTACAGACTTTAGGTTCTGCGGATGGTAAAAGATGTGAAGGTTTTGCAAAGCCCTGAAAATCTGGAGTAGATATGATTTAGCATTAAACTTCCACTACATGGGGAGTGCTCAACCAAACTCTCTAATAAACATTGTTTTAGAAATAGTCTTCATTTTGTGATATTCTAGGTGAAAATATAATTTGAAGGAGTAATAGTAATTTGAAAGGAAACCAAGCAGTTATAGTAAGGGACTACAGAAAAATAAAAATTCTCTACTAATAATCATTCAACATGTTAACCTGATTTCGCTCTTGGAGCCAATACACTTACTAGTATATATATATATAATTTTGGTCTGCAAGCAGCACAGCCTTCAGCACTATCAGATAACAGTAACAAAAACGAAAGAGATGCAGTAACCACTCATGGCTGGTGATGCTACATCTAAACATAATTATTAAAAGCTCCTAGTACAACAGAACATAAAGATTTATACAGCCTCTGAGCAAAGCAAAGCATAAAGGCAGGTTCCTGATAAGAAAAACATGCATTTGATAGAATCTATATAAACTGGCAACAAATTGCATAAAATTCACAACATCAGATGATATGATAGATTCACAATTTGCAACATGTTTATAAGATCTAGGATTTTTCAAGAAACTCCTTGCATGCTTTTAATCATGTTTTATGTCATTTCGCATCTTTTATAGTTGCCAGTACCTTCTCTAGAGATTTCCTGCTTTTCACAATGCAATTCATTCACCACGATTTTGAAACTTAGACCAATGTGTTGTTTGGCCAGGTATATGTTTTGTTACTTTGCCACAAAAATTACATTATCAGGCATGATGTATGCTAAATTTGCTCATTTCTGTGTAGGCTAGGATCTGCTCTTGAATCTTGTGAAGCCATCTCTGTCCCTATCTTAATAGAGGGACAAACTTGAAGCAACCAATAAGCACAGACTGACAAACATGTAAGATAGCTAATTTTACTGACTATTGATAATTTGACACTCTGCAAATACAGTTGCACAATGCATGTCAAGAATTCAAATGAAAATTCCCTAATTTTTTGTGCATTATTTACATAAACATATGTACAAAGACATGCGGGTTGAATTTGAAGTTTTACCATATTCCTTCATTAATTCAGGACTACTCAATCAATAGATTGCTTGAAAGTGATCATTGCCAGAGTTCAAAAGTAAGAGGTAAACCAGGAAATTCTCAAACCCCACTACGATACAGTATACATGCCATAATTAATAGCAAATTTGTCATGGAATATAGCATCATGCATAGCATTAACTAATAGTGGAATATCAAGAGTCGCCGAAAATTTTGTTCAATGGTATACGCATGTATTTTCTGCTGAAAGAGCTGGGTTCAAATCTGACTTCCTCATATATATATATATATATAACATATCAAAGCAATATCCAAACTACAAATGGAAGCCTCTGTAGCCTCAGAACTTACAACTCTAAAGGTTTATGAATTTAGCAACCAAAAAAAGCAAAAATAGCCATTTTCTGTGAACCCCAGGAACAAACGTCTAAAAAGATATGAACTTAGCATCCTTCCTAAACTTTTCTACCCTTAATCTCCTGATGAGATACCCATAAACAGAACGGGCCTTAATCTCCTGATGAGATACCCATAAACAGAACGGGAAAAAATAGCAAATAAGCAAGAAAAATAAAAGTTAAAACGAAAAGGGATGGATGTTAGATTGCAGAACAAGAGGATTCTCAAACAGGGATTTAAAAAGAAAAACTACGAACAAAGACAAGGATTTTAATTTGATTTGTCATATAGTACCTTGGAAATCAGATTTCTTGGAACAAGACATGAAACCAAAGCGACAACGAGCAGTTCGGAAGTGAAACTTTCTTCCTACATGTAGTGGTGGTGAAATTCTGAGGGGGTTCCTTTGATTCGTTGCAAAGATTGTGTGACTAACAGAAACTGACTCCATTGCCAAGGCCAACACCATTACCCGTGCCTGCAACTTTCCTCAAAACCAGAATTTTGTCTGTTGCACAACGTCGTTTACCACCTTCGCTGAATCGCTAATCACTACCCAGTATTTGGATTCTAATTCCTCAGAGATATATATATATATATATATATATATAGACACACACATATAGGCAAGTTAGAGGTGTACAATTACCTGGCCTGAACCGGACCTACCGGACAACCTTTTTCAGTAGTCAAGTCCGATTCATCTATTTATTTATTAAGTTATTATTAAAATCATATATTATTTTTTATTAAAATTTTTAAAATTTTAAATATATTTAAGAGTTAATGGAGATATATATAATTTTATGGAAGCATTTATTTTTTAATTAAGAAATTTTATATAGATTTCTTATGGTATAATATTTTCTCACATAATACTCTAAAGTTATAACTTTTTTATAATGGAAAGTGAAGAGTTTGAATTCTCTTGGAATGGTTTTATTAATAAGCATTCATATGTTTATATAGAAATTACAAGATCAATATAAAAGGAAAATAATCTGTACTATGAAGTGAATTGCTTAAATAAAGATAACGTCTTATGACTAGGCTTATGATTAAAGAAATCAAACCACTAAGTCGAACCAAATATCCTTCATTATCTTTCATTACTCCCCCTCAAGTGGGAGCATGAAGATTAGTAATGCCCAACTTGACTAGTAAATCATGGAAACAATTCCGTCTAAGAGCTTTGGTGAAAATGTCAACCAATTGGAACCGTGATGAGATTGACCGTGGAACAAGATTTTTTGACTAAATGTGTTTCTTGATAAAATGAAAATATATCTCGATGTGCTTGGTACGTTCATGAAAGATTGAATTTGCGACGATTTGAAGTGCAGCTTGATTGTGGCAAAATAATGAAGCTAGTGTTGAGTGTAAAATTGGCAAGTCAGCCAATAACCTAAGAAGCCAAACAATCTCCCTTGCTGTAGTGGCCATGGCTCTGTACTCTACTTTTATGGAGGAACAAGAAACAATTGATTGTTTCTTGGATCTCCATGAGATAGAAGACAAGTCAAGAAAGATAATGTATTCCATGGTTGACCTACATGTCATTGAACAATCTGCCCAATCTGCATCACAATAAGTTCTGAGAGGCAATTGACTATCAACAGGAAGTAACAAACCTTAGCTTAAAGACTTTTTCAGATATCAAAGAACACGCAAGGCTGCATCTAAATGAGGCTAAAGTGGACAATGCATAAACTAACTTAGTACATGAACAGAAAACTAATATTAGGTTGTGTAATGGTGAGATGTAATAATCTTCCAATTAATCTTCTATACTGCCTTAGGTCCAAACAAAGTAGTCTTATATTAAGATTGAGTTTAACTTGTTGGCCCATGGGTGACGATGCAGGGCTTGCAATTAGTAAGTCCACTATCTACCAATATATCAAGTACATATTTCCATTGACTCAAGACAATGAGGGATGGAGAATGTGCCACCTTAATGCCTAAAAAATATTTCAACTTGCCTTAATCTTTAATACAAAATTCATGATCCAAGTGAGCCTTTAGTTGAGAAATCTTGAGTACATCAGTCCCTTTACTATAATGTCATCAACATAAATTAATATTGCAACAAGTGACTCTTTAACAAAGTACGTAAATAGAGAATAATCGTCATAGGATTAGACAAATCTGATAGCTAGAAAGGAATTAGTAAACTTTTAATACCAATATCATAATGCTTGACGAAGCCCATAGAGAGCTTTCTTAGGACGACAGACATACTATTACCCTTTTTGGCAAAGCCTTAAGGTATTTTCATGCAGACTTCTTCTTTTAAATCCTCATGTAAAAGGCATTGTTGAAGTTCAATTGGTGTAACTCCCAATAACGTACGGCAACGATAACTAAAAGATAGCATACCATGACTAATTTCGCAACCAGAGCAAAGGTCTCGTGAAAATCTACCCTTTCAATTTGAGAATAGCCCTTGGTAACTAGTCGTGCTTTATAATGCTCTAGTGTTCCATTTAGGTTGTATTTGATTTTTTATACCCATTTGGAATCAATGGCTTGCTTTCTTGGAGGTAGAGATGTTAAAATCTAGGTATTATTTGCTTTAAATACAAATAACTCCTTATCTATGGCATCACGCCAATGTTGCATTTTGACTACTTGAAAAAATGATTTCGGCTCATCAATAAATGAGATAGCCACTAATAACATACTGTGAGCTTTAGAAAATTTGGAGTAAGAAATATTATGAGATAAAGGATATATTGTCAAGTTGGCCAAAGGAAATGAAGAGTGTGAATTGAGATCCAGTGAGGGGTGCAAGGTATAATCATATCCGGATAGTTACTTCAATACTTGTCACTATCATTTGATAAGAATAATACTATGCTATTCTACATGTGATGAAGAAATATTAATTTGCTATATTTCCATCCTTAGCTCAATTAGATGGGAAGTAGGTGAGTCAGCAATTTCGTTGATGCTGTTTTCCAAAGGTGTTGACTCTTCTTGGGGGTGCATTGGTGATGTGTCCTTATATTGGGCTACCTTGACTTCTTGGACTTGTTCTGAATGGTCGACATTCGTGAATTTTCCACTGGCTTTTGCTTATGGTACTTCTAAAACTTGAGTATCCATGTGATTCATAAAATGGATTGAAAGAAGTGGTCTATGCGTGCTGATGTGCATTCTCAGTAGTTAAATCATTAACTTTTGTATTTGTTTTGTCAAATAGGAATATTTCTTCCCAAAACTACACATCTTGAGAGACATAAATCCTTTTGCTTTCAAGATCACATATTCAATATCCTTTCTATCCTAAAAAATAGCCAACAAAGATTCTTGGTTTGAGAGGCAAACTTATCATGAGACTGGTTTTTGACATGTCTGTAACAAAGGCACTTAAAAGATCTAAGATGCTCATATAACGGAGGTCTGTCAAGCAATTTCTCATGTAGGGTTTGATTCTCTATGATTGAGAGTGGCGTACGATTGATTAGATACATTACAGTGATTGCACATTTACCTTAAAAGGTAACGGAAAGGTTGGCTTGAAATCGAAGTGCTCATGTCACCTTTAAAAGGTGACAATGCTTGTGTTCTACCACACCATTTTGTTGCGGTGTGTTTGTGCAACTAGTTTGCCTTTCTATGTCGTGCTCAAAATAGTGGTCCACTAAATCTTCATGTTCAAATTCCAAGCCGTTGTCTATTTGCGATATCTTGATCTGTGCATTGAATTGTGACTTAACCCACTAAAAAAATAAGGCAAGAGATTTTTACTTTCTAATTTATGTTTTATAAGAAAAACTCATGTTGTCCAGCTATAATCATTAACAATAGTGAAAAAATAATGTGCTCTCGAAAAGGATGTGGTGTGATAAAGACCCTAAATATCACAACGAATTAAATTGAAAGCAAGCAAACTTTTATTCTTGTGAATTAGGAAAGGCAATCTAGTTTGTTTTGCCTTACAACAAGCATTGCAAAACATATTGTCCTTTCGAGTGCAAGTTATCGATAAATTTGGAACTACTAAAAGACGATCCAAAGGAATGTGCCCTAATTGATGGTGCCATAGAACTACATTATTTTTGTCTTTAGCCAAAAGAACCTTGGTTGCCCTTATTGGCTTCAAGTAGCATAATCCATTCTGCACTTTACCCACTCCAATTGGCTTCTTCAAGAGTAAGTCATGTATCACACAAAAATCAAATCCAAATATAAGAAGATAATTCAAGTCACGAGTTATTTTGCTCTTAGATAGCAAATTAAAACAAAAATTAGGCACGCCAAGAACTTTATTCATGGTTAAATTATGCCCAAGAATCATTCAACCCAAGGCATGCACTAGCACAGTATCCTTATTCGGGATTTAGATAGGTGGAATATTAGAATTTTCAACCATGCTGAACAAACTGTCAATTTGATGAGTAATATGATTTGTTGCCCTAATGTCAATTATTCACTAGTTGTCCTTCTTACTAGACGAATCACCAAAAAAGTTTGCCTTTAAGGCCATGTTGACTATGGTCCAATATTAGAATTGGACTCATTTAACTACAGGCCTAGAAAGTCCATTAGCTACTAGTATTGGGCCTGTGTAAGCCCAGGGATGGATGAATGAGACACGTGACCTCTTTCTATTTCTCCCTCAACTGTAAATGCAAGGGTTTGCTTCCCAACCACCATCGTTGGAGTTCTTGCCCAATAGCGCGTTTTTTTGCCCTTGAGTTTCATTCTCTGTTACTAATTTGGTGGGTACCTAACAATCCTATAGCAAGAATCATGAGTATGGCCGGCTTTATCTCAATGAGTGCAGTGGTAATAAGAGCTTTTTCCTCTTTGTTGGTCTCGTTGGTTGTTGTGCCAATCATTTACCTTTTGTCCATGTCGATTATCTAGTTTCTCATCATTAAGGTAGCTCCTTCAGGCACCATGGATCACGATGCAACCATTGCCAATTGCTTTTATTCTTATGTTGCAATAGCATAAGCCCGCCCAACAGATGACAAGGGCTTCAGGCTAAGAATTTGTGAGCGCATGGTTCTATAGGTTTCGTCCAATCCCATCAGAAAGTCAAGTACCTTTTCTTCCTCGCGCATCTCTTACATTTGTCTCAAGACATCACAAGTGCACTTTTCACAAGTGCAAACCGATAAGGGTCGAAAGGTTTGTCATTCATTCTATAAAAATTTCAATTTTCTATAATAAATAGAGATTGGAACCTTCTCCTGTTGTAAGAGTATAATTGCTCACTTGAGTTCATAAACCCTAAGTGCAATGCCTTGAGTGAACCGTTCCTCTAGATCTGTCCATATTTCATTTGCATTTTTTGTATGTACTGCTTTTTCCTATAATTCCTTTTAAAAAAGCATTAGTTAGCCAAGATAATACTATTGCATTACACTATACCCAATTTTGAAATTCTAGGAAATTAATTTTCGATTTTGGAATATATCTATCCACAAACCTTACTTTGTTCTTGGATTGGAGAGCATTCAGGAAATTATGCCTCGAAGTGAAGTAGTTATCATTAGTTTCGCTTAGCAGATGTGTAACAAATATTAGGTTAGGACGATTTGAAAGATGTAGGTAATAGAATGATTTGGTATCAA